TGCCAATTTGCAAAGCCAAGAAAAAAACCAAAATGTAATATTCCTGATGAAGAGAAATAATCTTTCGTTAATGGCAATGAATTCATAAATAACCTCGTTTTGCTCAGCCTCTTTGTTACGCGATGCTGAAGCAGCATTTTCCGACATGAGTTTCAGACCTTCTTTGACTAGTTCATCAGGCTCACCCTCGCCGTTCATGAGCACAAACATTGGCTCACCAGAAGCACCAAAAACAGTCCGGACCTGAAAAAGGTTCAATATTCATGAGCAGGATCCCTCAGAAACTGACAGCAATTGCAAACAATTAAGAGAAATTGACATGAAATGATGTTACCTTATCGAAACTGCCTGGATACTGCGCTTTCATGCGGGTTAAAATATCAGCGCTCTCTTTTACAGCCATCTGGGCATCTCTGCGTCGTCTCGGGATGTTAGGATCGTCATCCAAGCGCAATGCTGTCCCGGTCTTTCGATATCGACGTAACTGAAAATTGTATTCGTTTGTAAGAAGGCATGTATGGGCTACGGGCGCTGTAGTATTATGGCCCCGCAAGCGTCTATACGAACGCTATCGTCGGACAGTAACAATCCGTCGAGGTCCAGGGCATGCTGTCTGATGAGGTATTGTACTGACACGTCATAGCATCGGGCCATGACACGTCGGTGGCGAGGGTTCGCGGGACACCCTCAACACCCTCAAGCGCCATGTCTTCCTTGTTTTTCTGTTTCACAGCGATTTATAAAAGTAAAAGTGCTTTTTTGTTTTGTTTCTTTTCATCTGCCTTGTTTTCGTGAGCTCGCCTCACAAGAAATGACTGTTATCAGGTAAAATCGCTTGCGGCCATATATTGCTAAAGCGTCAGGTTACGTGCACGGTACAGTTGTTGCTACCTACTCGGCTGTAGATAAACTTAACAGAAAATAATCTCCACATTGTCCCTTCTTGTAACCTCCACATGATGTCGAATGTTCAATCACTTCTGCCAAACAAGGTTGTTAGATGAAACCTTTTTTGGCCTAACGTTTCGACCTTCTCGTCTTCTTCAGAGGCCTGAAAATGGCTCGAAGCTTTTAATTTGTTACCTACCCGACCAAACGCCCTCCTCATTGCGGAGGGCGTTTGGTCGGGTAGGTAAAAATTAGAAAGCTTCGAGCCATTTTCAGGCCTTCGAAGAAGATGGGAAGGTCGAAATGTTAGGCCCGTAAAAGGTTCCATCTAACAATTTCGTTTCGCAGAAGAATTGAACATTTAATAGAAAATCTTACCGGTTCGCCATTGAATTCCGGCATAATCTCAGGATGTCTTGACCTCAAATGACGAATCCCGCGACAGACGTTGTACGGTTTATGTAACTGGTAAGTAAGATGACAGATAAGACACTCTAGCATCTGTGGATGTACAAATTCCATGCATCCATCACTTATTCGATCCAGGCGAGCCTGTAAGGAAAGTAAAATAGAATCTCGTTGAATATGCTGAACATTCTCTCTTGTCAACAACTTACTCTAACAACTTCAAACTGAAGACTGTCCGATTCTTGAGGATGCTTCAGTTTAAAATGCCGAATAGCGCCTGTAACAACGATGACACTGAAGAACTGTACAAAGTTCATTACCTTCGTAAGGAAGTGCAGGAAACGGGAGACTTACATGCTGAGATCACAGCTCCGTAAAGATCAGCGTCACAAATCTTGCACTTCCAGTGTGAATTATTGATTACCTTCACATAGTCAGAATTTGTTGGTGGAGCTTGCCTTGAAAATGAAAATCGGAATAAAAACGCAACTGAGGATAAATTATCAGTAATTTTACCGATAAATAGGTTGCACCATGCTCCTCTTTGGTTTGTTATGCCGACCAAAAACTTGACGACTGTTAGTCTGTAACAGTAATTCGATGAGGTCAAAGCAAAACAATCTCGACTATGAGCATAATCACCCCCACCGTTATGGGCTTTCGCGGTCGGGTGAGAACTTCCTCATCTAGTCCATCACCAGAGTCATCGTCCCCGGGAATGGCAGTGGTGTGCACAACAACAGAATCTCCTTCGAACACTCTTCGTTCCACTGTCAATGGACCCCTTTTTCGTTTCCCGTTCAATGTATCCAGGTACTTTTCAATAGCCTGGAAAAGGTGATGAAATAGAGCTAGGACTGATGTAACATTTATGGTGAACACATACGCTGTCCATTTGCGATTCAGACGTAAACAGCTTGTTCAGTTTCTCAACTTTAATGTGGAATTCATCAGGAAGAATGATGTCAAAGTCCGAACCAAACTTCTCTATGACACGTGCGTTTATCACAAGCTCCTAAAAAGTACAAGTTTACTGCGCGCAGAAACCTCTCAACTCTGAAAAAAACGTCACGCTTGTCACTCTGAAATGAACACGAAACAAAATAGAGAAAAAACGCAATGGCTGAGCACATGGGATATTTTCACAAAAAAATGGCTTCTGGGATATATTTTGCGCTCGGCTATCTACAGTATTGAGCAAAAACAGGAGAATCTGTAAACAGAGACCACAACGTAGTTTAGTAGCATGGTTCCCGAATGATCGAGTCTCCCAGTACATACGGAAGTCAGGTTCATAGATGGCGTGACTCTCGCACCCTAAAAGGGCGCAGTAAGGGCGCCGCGGTCATATCCGCGAGTTTTTACGCCCCTTTTCTGAGGAGATGCCTGGTGCTCCATGAAGAATATTGGCCTTGTTTGTCTATGTATTCTTTCATTTCGCCGCGTCATCTCTCGCCCAAATGTCCAGTATTTCTCCACTGCATGCTCAAATATCACGGGCAATTACCAATTTCCTGACGAGGTTTCTCAATCAGACCCCAATGAGGAAAAAAATATACTGAGTGAATGCGGAAAAAGAGTGACCGTATGGTTTGAGGAAATCCTGTGCGAACAACTATGTCCCTAGATACTTTGGAAGACGAACTATAGTAATTTCCAGATATGATTCCCTTTAGATTGGGATACAAAAATAATTGCTACAACGAAACCGGGTACGATCTAAAACAACTTTCTCAAAACAGTAAATTTTGATGAAAAGCTTTTCTTCAAAAAGTTCGACAAAAAAAACAGCTAGCGCGTTCGAACAAAAAAGTCTAGAAAGACGTCATCTTAATTAATGTGTGTAGTGAAGATACCTGAATACAGAGCAGACACTTTGGCACTTCAACTTCTCCGGGGTGGCATTCCGTGAAGTGAACTGCTATGGTCGTGGCATCTATAAACATCCCACACCAAATACATTGCAGATTGTCAGGCTGAGTATGCGATAAGTCAATGACAGCAAAATCCTGGAAAAAAAATTGTACTGTATGTCATTTGGACAAAAGACTGATTGTATCCTAGTAGAGGACCTGCTTCGAAAGCGGCTTGCCAACTCCAGGCCTCTGAGTTCGTTTCTGCCATTGACCAGCACATTGATGGTTGGTGGGATGCCAAGCGTTGAAGTGTCGAACTACATGGACAATCTGGAAATAATTCATCCCTTGACTGTAAATTGACACGAAGATGTTTATTTGAGAAAGCTCCTTCCCTGCTCATAAAGACTGGGCTTAAATTATTGGAAGCTGGATTTGATTGCGTGCCAAGACTTCTTGCTAACAGCAATTCTCTATTTGCATTTTGTGATCTCACTTTGCGGAATTGGAGCTAGAGCCTCACATTTCTTAACAATTTCATTCTCAAACTTCGTCCTACAGAGTAGCTTCAGTTGAAAGTTTGTTTCCGGCCGTTTCCCTACGAAAATATCGTATTCATTTGGCGCGAAAATGCAGGCATGCGTTCACAGACATTGGACCTGGAGCACTTTAGACCACCATACTCACTGGAAAGGTGTCCACAGAAGCTGACTCCGTGAGCGCGGAACAACACACCTGCTGGGCGAATACAGCAACGGAGGCACAAATGCACGGGCCGTAGTGCGGGAGCTAAGCGTTTTCGTGCCAAACAAATGGGATGTTCGAGTTTAGTCAACGTCTATGGACGAGTTTTCACTGAATATGGTGGTCTAAAATCGTTTAGATTTCGGCGTCTATGGAGTGCATGCCTGCTTTCCTTTTGCGCGAAATGGATACCATGGCTTGTGTCCTGCAGGTAAAAACGAACTTTTGTCCTAGTCTTCATACGGCTAGAAATTTCGATGAAAATCTGACCTAAATGTCGGAAAACAGGGGAACCGAGGTACAGAGTAAGTAATGCTTCCAACATAACACATTGATCACATTGACACTAAGAAAGTGAAAGACTCAGCTTATAAACATTCCCCAAAGCAGCTAGTCAGGGTACAGCAGAGGATGTGAGGGAGGCAAATACCACATGAGGAACGGGAAAATTTCTTAGATTTTCCCACAACTTCCTACCATTTTTTCCCGGAACTTCCCGAAAATTTTCCTACTTTTCCACAAAAATTTTGTTCTCGAGCGGGCGGGATATATAGCTGATATGAAACGGGAAAACGCGAAAAGACAACAACGGGAACTTTCCATTTTTTAACGAACTTTCCTCCAACGAGGCAACTCTCTGAAACAGACGTACACCCCCCTCTCCCAACAACGACCAAATACGACCCCACTCCCCAACGGTCAAGTACGACCCCATGTTTCACACAACGATGCTGTACTCTGTGTATAGTACTAGAACTCACTTCAAACTTCTTATTAATAGAGATCACAGAACTGCATATGCCACACTTGACGTGTTCCTTGTCGACAAGAGATACCCTTACCTAAACGAGGAAATATCGAGTGCACAAGTAGAACGATACAAGAACGAATAGAGAATATTGTGAATCCCTAACAACGCTAAGCTCTTACCCTGCGACCCATTTTTTCCAACAATTTTTTCCGCAACGCAATTTCAAGCTGAGGAAGAGACATTTCTGAGGGGTTGATGCGAATCTGACTGACTTTGCGTGGAGTTCTCCGAAGAATTGTTTGCTTCGAAAACCTAAATGTACATAAGGGGTTGAAGAAGATAAGTGATGACACAATGGTGACCAGCTTCTTAGCCTTACTACGCTGCAAGGCGCCGTTCGGCGTATATTTGGAGGTGTTTTGCACTTTCTCTTTTCTTTTGCAGTTCATTTTTAATAACAGGTCTCGCTACAGTAACAAGTAACGAGAAACCTGTAAATTCCTGTAAAACAGCAAAATGGTAACAGCAAAATGGTAGGTGGGCCACTTTGGTAAATTTTACAAGTATTCACAAGATGGCCTGTAGCTGAAGACCATTACGTGCCTCCAGCAAGCCAAACTGCGCCCGCTGCAATCACACAGTAGTGGGTAAGAAGCGGTAAGGCTGCATTAAGACCTTGCGCTAACGCGCTACGAAGCCCTACCGTTGAAGAATTGCTCTTGTACTACAAAGTTCTACTTCACCTTACCTAATTTCCTTTACTATTTGATCCCTTTCTTTTTCATCATCCTCGTTGTCCACTCATCACTTCTATCCCTGATTTTTAAACTATTTACATCTGATAAATTTCAGGCACTCATCTCCAGCTTCCGCATGAATAATCGTTCGCTGAGAGTAGGTCGATCGGAGAGTTCCATTTTGCTTCTCTTTTTCGAAGCAAAAAACTTCACCAACCAACCGTCAGCGGAACGATTCGTGCAAATGCTGAAGATGGGTACCTAAAATCGACTGGAGATGAAAACAGCGCCGAGAGGACAAAAGTGACGACAGGACAACATGGATGATGAAACGTCGAAATTCGAATAATAGGGGGACTGAAACACTCTTGGAATCGAAAACATAAACTACTATAACAAAAAGAGCTGCATATTCAAGAGAAGTTAGATTTGGGTAGCATCAAAGCACAATTATAACGATAACGCGCGTAGTGCGCCAACGCCCGTCATCGCGAAGTCTGAACGCAGCCTATGTTATGAGATGCCAAATTCTAGCGACACAGTTGCTCTTACATTACTGATTTGAATCCACTTTGTATAGTTTTCCTTTCAGCTTCCAACTTCCTCTTTAAGAACTCTATGTATGGGAGCTGACCAATCATCATATCCGGATCCATCATCTACAAAAACGCAGATATGAAAGACAAAAACTTATCAAGCAATGATATTTCAAATACTGCTATATGCTAATAAAACTACTGCCCCTCCCCTCCACCACATTGAAGGCAGTGGGCACGATGGCTGAGGGCGGGCGGTTCCTGCCAACGTAGCTGGTGGAAGGGCTAAGCGAATGTGGCCCAATGCCCTTTCGAAGCCCTTCCACCAATGACGCTTCCACAACCGTCTCCCAGTCATGTCCACTGTTTCGGTGGCATGTTTCCTACCAAGCACATCATAAGCGTTACACGTACGAATCGGTTGACCGATGTCGGTAAAAGTTAAGCTGGAAGCCTCAGCAGATAGCACTACGGTTTATGTGTAACTTTTTTCTCCTGATCGCGACCTGCTGCGAAAACAGCAGCTCACGGAACAGAACGAATCAAACACTCGATGAAAATTACAAACTATTACCTCCGAGTTTGTGAAAAGAGTTGAATACGAAACCACTTCTCCACAGAGCCCACAAACAATGTTCTTATCGTCCAGGAAATTGAAGTCAATTTCACAGATATCAACGGTAGCATACGAGTCTTCCGGCGTGCACCTTAGTCCACTATTCCCCATTGGGCGTTTACTAGACTTGCAGACGCATGAGAATGTAAAAACTGGAAGCCATACGAGGAAAATAGAAGGGAGCGCCATTTCATGGCCTAATCCGAGGAAATCTTGATAGTATATCTTTCAGTAGGTCCTCTTCTCTCACTCAGTCCCCCTTTTGCTTCTTCTGACTTTCCTACTATGTATAATCGGCTATGTCCGTACATGTTGTGTGTGTCTTGTCTGTCTTGTGTGTCCTGTCTGTTCTGTCCTGTCTGTCTGTATGTCCGTTGTGTTTGTCACGAAAATTCAATAGGCATTGAAAGAAAGAACTTGGAGGATCACGGGTCCCATGGTGGGGAAGGTAAGATGCATGAAGACAGGACCTAAATAGGCACCCATTGACCGCATCTGTAAGTCCGCGCCCCACAGTGGCGGGGCGTGCGTCAAAAGTTAGCGATATCACTGAAAAAAGTCATAACTCGTTCCAGGGCAGTCCCGAGATGAGGGAAAGTGCAGTAGAGTTAACAAAGGGCTGACCGACCAACTAGAGGAGACAACTTAAACGTGAGATGGGCGGTGCTTCCCACAAAGGTCGATAACTCGGTTCCCGAAATATGCAGAGATCGCAGAAAATTCCATGACGAAGATGAACATCTGGCAAGAGAGCACCATGTTTGCGGCGTGCCGAGGCCACGCCCACAGTGGGCGGGGCGTCCATTTGAACGTGAGGTACCAGTTTAAAAAAATCGTAGTTTGGTCCCAAAGCACTACACACGGCGCAGAAACGTGGATCATAGCCCCGAAGTGATCACATGTGGGAATGTGCGAGGCACTCCCGTTGTGGGGTGGGCGAGCGCTGCTCCGAGGTGGGCGGAGCTAAACTTAAAAGATTCCTTGAACGGTTCCGAAGCACTTTCAGACACCGGGAAAAAGTAGTTTAAGATCAGCAAAGGGTCATCGGCAGAGAAGCGCGAGGCATATTTTGTGGGCAGAGCCAGTCTTAAAAGTTCCCCAGAAGGGTTTTCCAGGACACCTAGGAAAAAAAGTAGGTTCCGATCGCGGTCACCGGTATGCACGAATTGTGAGGCATACGCCGTTATTGTGGAGCGTGCGTCGAGTGAGAGGGGCCGCGGAGAATTCTTCATGCACTTTGGCCTCCTCTGTAATACGGCCCGGCCTTGCGGGGCGTGGTTCATCGCGCCTCCTGCATTCGTGTGACCAAATGCTCGACTATTACCCGGCTTTTCTCTCCATACTGTCCACGTTGAATCCTTACCACCATTCGTACACCGTGTAATGGTGGGCTGAAAATAGCAGGGTATGATGGTGGAATATGAACATGCTATTGGTCAAAGAATGTTGACCATCTGTTCAAATAAAAGAAAAGCCGGATACTAGGTGGGTTATTGAAATGTGTGGGAGAAGATAAGCGCGGCGGCCGCGCCCGTTCAGCGAAGCCTTCTTGTATATCAGAAGGAGGCGCGCCGGAATCAGCCGGCTGGTTTATTCATATTTCAGCACTATTTCGGTGAAAGTTCACAAAACAAATCTCTTGTGATCTCTACTCCTTGGAACTTCATACCAATCACTTTCATCTTCCTGTGCCTAGATTCTCTGGCAGAAAGTCCCCACCATAGTGAGTTTGTAGCAGAAAGGAAGCCCGTGGTTGAAGAAGGCAAGAGAAAAAGATCATAGAAAACACTAACCATCGTCCATGACAGCCAACTGTACCTCCTGCTCCGTGCCGTTTGGTGTGTGAACCCTGTAGATCTCTCCGACGACGTAGTGCATCTATAAACGATTGGATCACGACAAACTTTTGGCCAATTTTTTTGATACACCGTCTGCTGAGCTTCTCAAAATTACACGAAAAATGTTTTTGAAAGCCTCTACAAACAGGTTCCGAAATTAGCGCACTGACTACAAGAAGCAACTCACCGGTTTAGGGGTTCCCTTTCGGACTCCATCCGCCATTAGTTTCGGTGGAGCATCAACACCGGGCTTCAGTTCATACGACGGATCCATTATAGGACCATCTAGAACTGGTGGTTCCATCTGATTGTTGACCTCTTCTGAGGGATAATTTCTGTCGCTGGATGCTGTGTAAGAATCACAGCCATCATTGAGAATTTCAAGTGCCGAATCAACTTCATCTTCTTCATGGACGAAAGTTCGACTAGAACCGCTTTCCAAAACAGCCTCCTGTTCCTGTGAAATAGACTCGAGCTCCCTATTATCTATTTGGAGATCTGAAGGTGATGATTTTATGACAATTTCATTGTCCAACATTGGAACCGAATCCTCTGTACTTCGCAGCTGTAAGGGATCTTCCGCTGAGTGTTCGATATTCTCCGATAACTGCGGTAGCGTTAGAACGCTCACGTTGACGTGCTGAACAGCGTTCCGTCTTGAAAAACTGACAGTCACGAACACATCGTTTACAGGCTCGTTAGTCTCGAATGGTTGAATGTCCACAAGATCGTTTTCCATGTCGTCATCAGCGACGACCTGTTCATCTCCACCCCCATTGGAAGCTTCCATAGGATGCATGGGCTTACAACCATTGGTGTATTCGACGTTGTCTTCGTCCTGAAAAAAACAGCTGTGTAGGAGGTCACACGCACGATGAATAGGTGACAGCAGAAGTAATTTTCATAGAGAAAACTACTATCACACATCACCCGGCAACAATCAGCGCAATGAAACAGATCTTTCGTATTCTTCACAAGCACTTACTTGCAGCCCGAGCCATGGAAAAGACAACTAAAATGTTAAGTAGTTTTGTATGTACAAAAACAAGAAGAAGCTCCTAAAAGAAGAAAAAAAATTCATTTCAAAGAATACGGAATCGTTGGGCAAACTTTGTATTTATTATCTGACTGAAGCTTTCCGACTATTCTACATCCTTTACGATTTAGATCAGTTGTTTGCTAAGTTCGGCTTCTAAGGTATGTACTATTCCCGATACCTGAATGTAAAGCTGTAGGCTGTCCAATTTGAGGTGTGTTTTGGTCGATGGCTGCGGACCTGAGTTGTGTTACCAGCTGTTTGATGAGCCTGAGGGACTATGAACCCCTCGCTTGAGGTCCCCCTTGGTTTGCTCGCCTGGGGTCCCGGACGAATTCGTTCGTAACGGGTTAAGTTGTCAGCAAGCCCCAGTACTGTCGTCGAATCCTTGCGTTCAGAACCAAGGACCAGGATCTCGCGGGGGACTCCTTCATCTTCCTAAAGGGGAAAACAGCCTTATTATCAACACAGGGAAGGTCCCGGTGATCTCTTCAGTTCAAATTCTAATTCAAAACACAGCCTACTTGCTATCCCGAGAATTTATTAGCTTCAGTTTTAAAGTTGTTCGTGTTTGTTTTCTTTGTTTTTGTTTATTTTTTCTTTAAAGTGCCATACCCTAATTGAGTATGTTTTGTCTTTTTTCAAGTCGGTGCTCCCTTGGGTGAATATCAACAAGTAAATAAATAAATAAATAAAAAAGGCGCAAAAGATCTAAAAACTCTTTAGAAGATTATCGCAGTATTTCAGTGCTTAGCACCTTTGTCGTGCCCGAAATCCTCCTTTCTTAGTGTAGCTACACTCTAGCTCTGCGGACGGTTGGGCGTGTCAGCCAGTATGAGTGTGTCACCCTATCAGAGCCGTTCTCTGCCTTCTTGTTGAAGAGCGCATGCGACAAAAAGTGGTAGAAAACGAGTAATACGAAGGATATGATACAGTATTGTCACTTGCCCGCTTCAACAACTGGTGGAGAACGAGTTTGGCACCGCGCCAAACGCAGCCGCACTGACACGCCCAACCGTCCGCAGCGAACTACACTATAGCTATTACACAACGTGTGTCAAATCAACACACGTTGGTCTGCCTCTATCAGTAGGAAAACTTACTTTTCCGTCGAAAAATGGAGGTGCTGACCATTGAAATATTGCAATACTTTTCTGAAGGCCTTTTCGGATCTTGTGCGTCAATTGGACTCTTTGGAATGAATTTATTGGAGCTTCCTTATTTTTAAACATTCAGATAACCATGAGGCTCCGGTACAGCAAAATTCTCAATAGTAGTTTTAACCCTTAAACTGAAAATATTGCAAAAAAATAGTTTTATCCCAATGTCCATGACAGTGATTTGAAACAATGTCGGGCCCCGGACAAAAATCTGAAAAGTGCTCATAGAATATCAAACACTTTTCCTTCTTTCTCTACGCACACATAAGTTTAAAGGGTTGAAATTCTTGTAGAGAACCCACGCTCTTCAAAAGAGATGAATGAGGAGACATGGGTAAAGACGAGCCTTCATTTCCATTTTCATTTCCTAAAACAACAACATAAAAGAAGTCATTTCAAAAAAAACTGAATGAAAAAAAATTGTTTTTCAACCAATAAAGCGATAACAGAGAATTCTTGTAATGAGTAGGTATGAACACTCACCATTTGATCCTGGTTTTTCTTCAGTCCACGTACTTTCGTTTTCCTTCAGGTCATCACCCTGGAACTGAATCAATAAAAAACGAAGAGCCCAAAGAACGCAAGAACTAGCTTAGTTTCACTAACGGAAATCAATTTTTTTTAATGAACCACCTGCGAGAGCTCGGTGAAGCTCGGTCTTTGCATACGAGGTCGGCGTTTTGGACTTGTTGGGGTAGGGCTGAGTGCTCGTTTTGGCCTTGATTCCCTGGTAGATCTACGCAGCGAAGACGACGACGTGGTTGGAGCGTTCTCTTCTCCACAACTGCAAAAAAAGCGTGTCTAAAACACGAACAATCCAGAAGATATGAACTTCATTCAAAGAATACTCTGCAAAGCGTAGGAAAGAGGATAGTAAAAACGAAAATGATAAAAGTAGCTGTAATACCAGATGAAACCGTAAGTTTGAAACATACACCGATGCTGAGGAACTGTCGGCCACGGTTGAAGGGGTTGGTTCAGAGGCATCAGCTGAGTTCGCATCCGACGAGGATTTGCGCTTTCTCTGCCATGACCTCGAGTTTCTAAAATAACTGGGCTCATTAAAAAACACATGCTCCAGCTGTGCCAAGAGATCTCATGGACAAAAGCTCACCTAGTTAGTAACTTGCTACTTTGCTGTTGCCTTTGAGT